CATTCTAAGCTGTCGGTCTAACTGAGAAATTAAGCCATAAATCCGGATGCAGGAACAAATAGAAACATGTAACTGCAAACTATGAAGGTATTTGCACAAAGTCAGGCAAGCTCCCTCTTCCTGCTTCCTTGGTGTTTATTCCACACACATAGTGGTTTCTCACAAAGGATCACGGCTCACCTTGTCGATGAAGGAGGCAAACTTGTTGTTGAGGGTCTTGATCTGCTCACGCTCCTCAGTCCGCACCCGCTGGATGGTGGGGTCGATTTGCAGGTTCAGAGGAGTGAGGAGATTCTGGTTGATTGTGACCTCTTGGATGCCTCCAGGGGGGCACACAGGGAAGCCAGGGCCACCAAAGCCACCTCCAAAGCCAGCACCTCCACCACCGAGCCCGAAGCCAGCACCTCCACCACCGAGCCCGAAGCCAGCGCCACCACCGAGCCCAAAGCCACCACCAGCTCCACCGCCTAAACCAAATCCACTCCCAGCTCCACCTCCAAAGCCATAGCCACCTCCAGCACCGGCACCAAATCGGTTCCTGAAGCCGCCGCCGCCGCCACCAGCGCTGATGGAGATCCTCTTGGAGCCTCCCAGGTTGTAGAGGCTCCGGCTACCATAGCCGCCTGCTCCACCAGCACCACCAAGGCTCATCCGGCCAAAGCCGCCGCCACCACCACCCCCGGACCGGGACATGGAGGTGAAACTGGTGCGGGAAACAGATGGAGTGATGGCTGAGGCGGTGCTGAAGCTACGGCTGCCCCCACTCCGGAAAGACACACTCGACTGGCGAGACATGATGGCTTGTTCCTGGTGGTGCAAGAGTACCAGGCACTAGAAGTTGGAGAGAACAGAGCTCAGCAGGACGCAGAAGGTGGCTGTTGCCCGGGAAGGCAATCCCCCTTTTATCCTCTAGAACGGGTGGGAGGGAGAGTTGTCGAGCTGTGAATGATTATGTGGGTTGGGCATGCCTGGGGGGCAGCTGTGAGCTCACAATCACACCTGCACGGTGGTGTGGGGTGCAAACGCTTTCTTTCTGGCAGGCTCTGCTCAGTTAGGAATAACCTTGCCTTGCAGCATTGGTGTCTTGGCAGCAAGTCGGCCACACTGCCAGCAAGTCTCACTTCCCCATGGGCTGTGAACAGCCCAAAAAGGATGCCAGGAAGCAAGGGGAATTTTGGCCAATGTCCTGAGGGATCCTTATGGGACCAGGGATATTACCAACCATCCCAGCATGGAGTATACTGTCCATGAGTGGGGGACAAAGCGAGCCCTCACTGGCAGTGATCTGCCCTTCTCACTCCTCTAGACAGGAGGTTGCTGCAAGTATTTTCAGCACTTGGAAGGCAACTGTGGCCTGATATCTCAGCTATGTGCCAGAAGGGAAAATAGACCTGTCTTTTACTGTAGAATTTCCTTTCTTGGGGGAGGCACAGTTATCTCCCAGCCCAGGGAAGATTATCCTGCAAGGTTCAGGTCAGAAAGTCTCCTTAAACCCCAAGCTCAGAGACAGAGAACGTGGGACACCCTCTTCAGGGGCAGGCCTAGTCCTCCACAGCTCCTCCTAACTCAGCATTTTTCCTTGCACTTCTGCCTGGTCAGGATCCGATGGAGCTGAGCAAACCCAAGGGCTCCCTGAGATCCCTCACAAAAGTCCTGAGACTCAGCTGGCCAGTTACGTCTCTCTTCAGGGGGAGCTGCTTTCCCCGTTCCCCAGCCCCCCCCGGGTGTGTCCCAGCAAGCCCTTGGTTATTCCACTAGGCAAAAAATGAGTCATTGTATCTGTTGATACAGGCTGAGGGCCGCCACAAACACATACCTGCAGGAGCTTCTAATCTCATCAGGAACGTGTTGAGAATCCTCCGGCCTGTTATAACGGAGAACCAATCCGCTCTAAGCAGCGGGAACTGCTGTGCTTTCTCTGGGCTCCAGCCCAAAGTCTCCTTCAGAGCCAGTGGAATGGAAAATGGAAAATGGAATTCTAAGTCTACAGGTTGCCCTGCCAGCGAGACTAGACAGAGCAGGTTTAGGGGACCAGGTAGCTGGCGTAACAATCTGCCCCAGTTGCTTTCGGGAGGACCACCATAAGACCCTCTGCAAAGCTTGTCCAGGTGGACTGTGGCACCAGGTGGAGGAGAAGGGGTCTGGTCAGGCTTTGGCAAGTGTCTGTCCTAAACCTCACTGTCTCTTTTTGGCTGCAAATCTGAGTGGGGCCACCTTTCCTCCTCCCCCAAACAGAAGCAGGACTCTCAGACAGTGTTAGGGCCATCAAAAGCTATGGGTGTTGGTGGTGGTGGGGGGGCACCTCTGGGATGGGGCTAGAAATAGGAGTGGGGTGGGGATGGCTTTGAAGNGACTCCACGTCTAGTCAATTTCTCTAATGCTTTTCTCAGCTTTCAAAGTCTTTAAAAAAAAACAAACAAACACTAGCAGCCCAGCTGCAGGTTCTTAAGGACTAAAGAAATTATTTGAGCTGTCAAGCTGGGTTATGTCACCAGTTCCTGCTTTGGAGGGAATCCATCAAAATGCAGGATTACATGGCTGCGCTTTCACCAGCTGGTGCCAAGGGCGTCGAGCTTGTTGCTGTGGTCAGTGGCTAAGTGCCTTGCAGAAGGGCTGAGCTTGGGGCAGTAACTTTCTAAACATGGACCTGGATTTTATTTTAGTACTTTGGGTGTCCATAGAAAGCATAAGCATCTAGCCCGTGGGGAAGGCGTAAGCAGTAGTCTGATTATGAAGTGCATGTGCTACCAAGAAGACATCACCCACCCCATCACCACTCTACTGCAACTCACTTGTTCTTAAAGTCCTCCACCAGGTCCTGCATGTTCCTGAGCTCTGAGTCCAAGCGACCCCTCTCCCCCAGGACACTGTCCAGCTGTCTCCTGAGGTTGTTGATGTACTGCTCAAACAAAGGCTCCAGGTTCTGCCTCACGGTCTTGGTGCCCTGCTCCTGCAACAGGGTCCACTTGGTGTCCAGGACCTTGTTTTGCTGTTCCAGGAACCGCACCTGGAGGGGACAGAGTTTGAAGATGAAAAAACCTGAATTTTATGTTTCAGTAATTAATCACCAGTTTTTTTTCTCCCATCTCATGCTGTCCCCTGAAACCTTTCCCATGTGCAGTGCCTGGCTCTGGGTCCCAGGAGGGGATATCCAGAGCGAAGAGCCTAATCTCACTCTTCTGGGGAGACGGGGCACTTATCCAAGACACAGATAGCACTGGGCTCGGCTGGGCAGAGTGCC